AGGGATACTATTAATATCAATTATTTATATAACGATTTGATTTTAAACAACTGATTAACTTATTTGTAAATTAAATACATAATTAATTTATTAATACTGTATATATAGAGTCAAATGACATGCTTTACAGGAATAGATCACTTATTGCTGTAAAGATTACTAGAAAATAAGTTTTTTATATTTTTATAAGAATGGCATTTATATGACAACAAATAAACGAATATAAAAACAATGATAAAATCAATTATGATCTCTATATATAGCGAATATATGAGAACTTTTGTGTTAGACTTAAATAAATTGTCAAATAATCGGATTTACGAATAAAGAGGAGAAAGAGCTTAAAATTATAGGAAAATATGGAGAGAAATATTTTTGTGAATATAACAGTAATAGTAATCTCAATATAAAAATTGAATAAATGCTATAAAAATCAATAAGAATTTTATTAAATCAAAATCAACTCTTATCATTTTAAAAGTGAAAATATTCATAAAACTACATTTTAATCAAATAATGATAATAAGTTTGTTTAATAATCCATATTTTATCTCAATGTAAATGTTAATCGTTTATGAAATAAATATTTGAGTGCTTATTGACGTTTATAAATTATAATACTGAGCTATGAAAAATAATTTGTGTTTAAATAATATTTTTAAATTAAATACCAGTACTCTTGATTTAATGAATTAACATAGATTGAATAACATTTTTATCATATCATATTGTTTGCTTAAATTAATAAATATATTAACTAGTTTGAGTTTGACAACTTAAAAATTTTAGTTTATTAAAGTAAGTATTCATTTATAATTTTTAATAAATAAAATTTCATAGTTAAAAAAATTAAAATAAGTTATATATTTAATTGCTTATTAGGTACAGTGTATTTGAATTTGCTGGGCCGACAAACATGGGGTGTTTACCGTATGAATGAGACGTCGAAATTGGGTGAAAATTTTAGGAGGTGTTGGTGAAGGGTTCAGGTTGAATTTGATAAATTTTTCATCCAATTTGGACGCCTCCTTCTTACAGTAAATACCCCATATTTGTCGGCCCAGCAAATTGAAATACATTGTATACTACTAAAATTATTTTATCAAGTGTAAGTTCATTTGATAATGTATTATCATTGTAGTACGTATTGCTAGGGTACAAGTGAATGTACACTGCTTTTCGACAATACTTGTATAATCTACAATATGTACTGTAGATACAGTATATTCATTAAATATAGTTCGTACTTATTCTGCACTCAATGTAATTCATAGAGAGCTCACACTTATGAATCCCATTCATATTTTATATGATTTGTTTATAATTCATGTTTTGTATAAATATAACATTCAAATAAGTATTTGACATCATTTGATTTTAGTCGCTTTTAATTCTAAATAAAAACCAAGAATCCACCATTCAAAGTAAGTTTCTTGTTTAACTTTTTGTGCTAGGTAAACACAAGAGTATAATATAAATTTTTGTCATTTCCTGAAACAATATTCTGTTGAAAAATTTTTAGATTTAATATAAAGTGAAAATCAAAATAAATATTTATTCAATTAATTTCATTTGAAATTAGTGTCCAGCACCATTCGCTTGAATAATGGCACAGAAATGCCTGCACTTGGCTTAGGAACAGGTGGTTATGGATCGGGTGGACCACCACAGGGCCAGCAAATGGTTGGCATAATTGATGAGGCGATCGATATCGGGTACAGACATATCGATACGGCCAGTGG